TATGCTTAGCCGGTTTTCTGTATCCTTGGCAGCTCTGACGAAATGAGAGACTCGGATCATTGTCTCCGATTAGTCTCCGGCCAACATGATTTTTCCGGCAAGTTGTAACATACACAAGCAAGGTTTCAACTCAAGAACACACAAATCACACCCGAATTTTGATTTTCAAATAAAAAACACACATTTTAGATATAGGTTTTTGAAATCGTTTAGAGCATCTTATTCTTGTTTAAGGTCTAAAATCATGTGTTTTCTTAAGCCACTTGAACCATTGAGTGGCTCCAGCTAACCCATGATCTTGGACACAAGTCTACCTAAACTTGATTGTACCTATAAATCGTTTCAAAAGAGAGAAATAACGATGATCATCGAAAATCGTATTCGTGTTATCTTCACCAAAAATCATGATTAACCCATAAATTGTGTTCATCTATGGCAGAAGCTCGATATAGGTGTGTGTATGCGTGTTCATCCATGGAAGAAGCTATACCTCGTGTTCATCTAACCAAACTTGGGTGTGGAATGCCATATTCTAGAGTAGTTTGTCATTTATTTTTAAAAATTAGGGTCATTTGTTTAAATTGACATTACATAAAGGTTAGTTTAATCAATAACCCTTATTATAAAGGTATATGCCTTATAAACTAAAAGTTGTGTGGTTTAGGAGACAACACCCATAGAGATGAATCATGAAAGTCTAATATTGGCCTCCAAGATATAACTTAATTGGCTTTTGTGGTTTTGAATAAAACAAAAGACTAAGGTTCGAGACTTGATAACGATAGTGTGTTGGTTTTCTCAGTTCTTTTTAACGGTTGAATTTTATAAAAGAAATCTAGTAAAAAGTTAGAGAGAAACAAACAATTACTTAGGGGTATCTATGGGAACCAAATTTTTTGTCATTTCCCGAATTCACATAATGGTCATCACAATCAAGTCTGTAGCCAATTTTTTCATCTTTGAAATGCTTCTAAAATCCATCTACAAAGGATCGATCCCATATTAAGCCCTCAGTTCACCAAATTGAGACCAATATGGATTTGATTAAGGGACACCCACCAAATGAAAATATTGATCTTTATAGGGGTAATTATATTCCATCTATGTTAATTACTAGAAACCAAAACAAGATCATCAATAAAAAAAAAGCCAAGTGAAATTTACAGATAAATTTTTAGGCAGGCCAAATCAAATCCAAGTTTTACCAGAAACTATTCAGACGATTTTTATGTCGGGTAAATGGTTATGGTGTTGAATAGATGATTTTTTTCCTAAAAGATTTCTCCGAACCATATTATAAAAAATACTTTTACTATTAATATATGATTTCAAAATTAAATTATGATATTTTATGTGATATTATAAATTTAAATTTTGTTATATAATTACTATTTACTTTTTAGAATAGAAGTTAATGATATTGTTTCTAATACTTTACCTTATAACAGTGATCACTTTGCCAATTGGGAATAGCCCAATTGGTAGAGACATATCCTCTTAGTATGGAAGCTGCCGTTCAAAAAAAAAAATAATGATATGTTTATCATGAATTTAAATATTATAATTATTATATGTTTAGGAATCTATTTATGCAATAGTTTTTAAAAATAAATTTGTTGATGTTAAAATTTTAAAATTATGAAGAATTCAAGTCATTTTTAGGATACAATTATGATCGGATTTAGGTAATAAAAATTTCATCGGGTGAAATTTAATCAAGTAAAATCTTAAATTGGAGACCCAAATATCTACCAACCCGATAAAGATTGTCGAATGAATACCCAATTGAATTTAAAATATTTTATAATTAGGTATGATTACCTTTAAATTGTCATCCATAAAATAAAAATAACAATAAAAAAAATAAGAGTAATACCGCGTTTTTAGGAAGGAGTATACCAAACTAAAATAGTGGTGCTTCCCCTATAGCCCACCCGGTGCCAGCTGTGCGCCTCCTTACCTCCCCTACACACAAACCCACATAGGACACGTCGTCTATTGCTGCCCAACATGAGAAACCTACGACTGCTACATCAATGAAGTTAAGAGAAAGATTATAGTATTAATTACATCTGATCTTTTAATAGTACCATGAAAGATTCATAACAATTAAAGTGCATATTTGCATCATGATATATTAATGGATATTATTATTTTTAAATGATTAGCCATTTCCATTAAAAGATATGAAGATAAAATGTTGCATTATTCATACAAGTCAAGTATTGGTATTAAATCAAAAAGTAGCATTGCATTTATTAATTTCTAATTTGACCCAAAAATGCGCGGATATTTTATAACGTGTTGATTAAAGATTAATTATTCATCATATGATACTTATCAAAAAGTAATATAACTAATTAAATATTAGGAACTAAAATTAAAATACTCACATTAAATAAGATTATATAATGGAATAGTGAAAATATCATGACTTTTATATATAATATAATTGGATGAAACCCACTATCCAAAATAATGTGTTGGGGTTTATTTGCCGTTTGGCCCAAACGGGCATTGCTTGTTCCTCGTTTGGTATGCCTTCACCCACCCCCATCTACTTTTAAAAGTAATTGCACTATTTATTTTGTCGATTTGCAAAAAATATATACTATATAATATATTATATTGTGTAAACATTCAACAAACTATATTTACAAGACGATTATTTTTTGACTGTCACATATTAAATAATCTCTTAAAACATCATTTTTTACTAATAGTCCAAACTTTATTAGGATTACTAACAATTCTTATTGTCACAAGTTAAGTAAATATAAAAAAGTATCATTTAGTTGGAAAAATATTAGTATTTAATCCAAAAATAAAATTGATTAGCTTTAATTATGGATTTAAATATTGGGTTGCGGCCTGCGGGCCTGAAGACCCACCTTGGAATATTGACCTGACCATTGGAGACTTGTGAATATGATTCACACATCTTTTATTTTTATTTTTTGGTTAAATATATTATTTATGAAATAAAGTTGTCCAAAATATAATCATATGCTGTATTGTAACATAAAGATATCTAACATTTTATTATACAAATTGATAAAATATTATTCTATAAATAAACATATAGAATTTACAATTATGTAGAAGACATGACATTTCTACACATCGTAAAGCATTTTATGAGTTTTATTTCTTAAATTTAATATTAATATAAGTATTAACTGAGTGCAAAGTTTAACAAAAACATTATGCTCTATAAAAGACAAATATTAAGGATTTTTTGCAATAGTTTGATTATCAATAAAAATGTAAAGTTTTGATATTGCATTTAAATATAAATTTGAGACTTTGGTGGAAATTCCACCACCAATTTTTATTTTTTATTTTTAAGTTTGTTGTTAAATATATGAATATATGGACAAAAGAATCTCATTCAAATGATTGGCTGTTTTTTGATTGTGGTATTGTTGAAGTTGCTATGTGTCTCTTTCAATCTCCATTCATTTTTTATATGCTTTTGATAAAGACACTTTCCTCGTCTTTTTTGTATACTGGCCTATTTGTTTTATTCTCTTTTCCAAGTATAACATCAATGTAAAAAGAACCAAATTTGGACGATGATCTTGCCGATTAAACTACCACCCATAAAATAAAATAATCAAGTTCTTAGGTATAGTTTTTTTAAATGACTTAATGATAATGATCTTTGTTTATTGTATAAAAATACCAGTAATTCTAGTTTTTTTACATGTATTACCAACAATCTTAGTTTAATATTTACATATTGCCAATAAACATTTAACTATTCCCACCGGATACCAATAACCTCTTTTATCTTAGTTCAAAAAATATAATTATATTTTTTTTTTTGTACATATTTATCCAGTAAATAAAAGTCACCACTTGATGTGTGATGTCATATGATTATTGACCTAGAATTGTGACCACTTTGTATGAATTTTACCATCGATTTCTTTTTTCAATTTACCAATGAAGTTTTTTGTGTACACATTATATACCAACAATCATATAAATCTATCAAAAATAGATAAATGACAATGTTTGGTTTCGAACTCGTGACCTCGAGGAAGGGAGATGGCAACACTATTGTTGAGCAAATATGCATTTTCAAATTTCAACATTTGTTAATATAATATGGGGTAAATTACACCATTCATCTTTCGTGAATGTGTTAAAACGCACGCTTAGTTTTTATTTTCAAAAATTAACTTGGATCGTCTCTTGTTTGATTTAACCTTACATGTTTCATCCCCTAAAGACGATTTTATTGCGAACTTGGTCCATTCCAAAACTGAAATGAAGATAATACCTTTGTGTTTTTTATTTTTCAATTAATTTTGATGTTTTTATTATTATTATCAATGTTTTAAAAAATAGAGATCCCTTCACTTTCCCCACCCTTCAGTTTGTGAATAATCTAAATCAAACACACAAATCGATGAGACCCAAATCAGAAACAAACACAAAGAAGAGACCCAAATCATCGGTAAGTCGACGGCCACTAACATCGTTTCCACGTCCAGCAAAGCTTTTCTCTCTATCTATCACCATCTCGACCATCGCCACCTGTTTTATGAGCCGACATCACCATTATTGATATGCGTTGAAACCTAACGCCAAATGAAACCCTCATTATCGTCACCTCCATTCGATATATGATGATGGTTCTTCGATGGTGGTGATTGTGACTCTTTCAGATGCATATCAGAAAAGACGAAGGGATACGACAATGATCTAGGGTTTAGGTTTCGAACCTTCAGATGGTAACCATGATTAGGGTTTGTTTCGAACCTCCACATGTTGCAACATGTTTAGGGAGAGGGAAAATAGGAGACGATAGTAGAGGTCGGACATGAGGATCTTTTGATTTGTCGCCAAGTATAAGATCGAAAGAGAGGATCGAAAGTGGGGGTTTGATGGTCTCGGTAAGTGAGGGTTTGAGGCAGTGTTCTTTTATGTGTGTGTGTGTGTGAAAGAGATGAAGGGGGGGGGGGAGAGAGAAGAATGTTGAGGATGCAAGTATGAGATCAGAAGAGAGGATCGAAAGTGGGGGTTTGATGGCGTCGGTGGGTAAGGATTTGATGGTGTTGGATGTGTCTTGTAGTGGTCGGAGATATCACTGGAGTTTGGAGTCAGCTAGTATGAGTGGTGATGATGGATAGAGTTGTACTGAAGAAAAAGGAGGGAGATAAACTCATTTACTCTTTCTTTTTTAAAAGGGAATTATAATATTTTTTTTAATAACAAACAAATCAATAAGTAGAAAATAAATCAAAAGAGAAATAAATAAGGGTAAATTGGTTTTTTTAGGTCCTGAGGGATGAAGCATGTAAGGTTTAAACTAACGAGGGACAACCCAAATTGATTTTTGAAAATATTGACTAAACGTGCGTTTTGACACATGTACGGCCGGCAATTAGTGTGATTTACCCTATAATATGTTGTTTTAAGATATACTAACTTTCAAAGGAAAAACAAAAAATGGAAAAGACAAGAATCAAGCCCGGCAATTAGTGTTATTTACCCTATAATATGTTGTTATAAGATATGCTAACTTTCAAAGGAAAAACAAAAAAAATGGAAAAGACAAAAATCAAGCCTGGATGTCACCCTAGGCTAGTGAGCTCATAGGTAAAATGTATACAAAAAAATGTCACAATTCAAGGATAGTAACTATGTGGCATGCCACATAAAAAGTGATCTAATATTTACCAGTTAACTGTGTACAAAAAACAGTTGTATTTTTTGAAACAAGGTAACACATTTGTGGTAGTTTGTGAGCACAGTTAAAAGTTTTTTTAGTAATAGTTAAAAGTTTATTTTTTCTACTCATATCATTACCCAAATCATTTTCATTAACTATCCATCTTAAAAACATTAACTATTTTATGATGTTCTGAAATATTGATTTTAATAATTATATAGAAAAATACAATCATTTATCTACTAACATTCAGAAAAACGTTACATTTTGTTTATATAGAAAAAAACAATAATAAATAAGCAAATAAATCTTACATTTTCAGTTACCTTTCAGATTAACCAAAATACCTAGTTTTTTTAAAGAAATTACCAGTTGTTTTGTGACATTACATTTATTTATTTATTTTTTTTGTTTTTCAGTTAAAATGAAAACAAAAATAAATAATGTTATTTCTTGTGTAAGGTAAAACATGAAAAATATATATCATTTACGTAACGACCAATAACTCAAGCAAAAATAAGTGATATTATTTTTTTTCTATGTCAACCAAAACACAAACAAGATAAATGTTCTGATATAATACAACAAGTAACTACTTCTTTAAAAAATTAATATTTTGCTAAATCTAAAAGGTAAATGAAAATATAATGATTTTTCTGTATATATAAACAAAATGTAAGGATTTTAAATAGTTAGGTTTTTCAGTCTGTAGCTACATGCTGCCATTTTTTAACAAGACCAAAAATACACCATAACTATGATTTTTTAAGTATTTATAGTAGCTAAAAAACACTATTTTGAATTTGATATTTTGTATGTAGGTGGTTGTATACTTTGCGGACAATATGAGTTGTCAAAATTAGTTGAGTAGGTCTAGTTTCTTGTAATTGACCATATAAATTCTTCCAAGAACCATTCTTCCACGTTATGATACAAAATTCAGTCTCTTTGCTTAACAACTTCGAATACAAGTTTCAAAAATCTTGTATCCATTTTCGGATTTCTTGATCAAGAAATCCAAGAAACGCCCATTTGATCACGAATAGAATCGTAAGTTAATCCCTTTAAGAATATGAGAATGTTTCCATGTTGGCGTACTATATATATTTATAACTCTTTTCTGAAAATTACAAATATAGCCATTGTGTACATATCATGGGCGGATGTGCTTCAAGTTCAAGACCCAACAAAAAATCAAGATCCGGTAAATTCTTCTTTTGTTCCGGGAAATGGTATAGAAGGGTTTCATCTTCTGCACCGATTACTGCTGGTGAGTTTTCCAAATAGGTTTTCCAAGGGGTAGATTTGTACTTTCACATTATATCAAATCGTTCTTGGATTTTGATGCTAAATAGCTCGTCTTTGTTCTATCACCAGTTTGTCAAGAGGAGACATGGTTCGACTCCGTGAGTATCTTAGGATCCGACTCCGATGATGACTTTATTAGTGTTTATGGAGGTAACGATCGAACATGCGTCATATATACATATATTCATACAGTTTTTGATCAAGAATTTGAAGACTAATTTCGTTATTTCTAGATTTCATATCATTAGGAAATGCAAACGATCAGTGTCCAGATAGCAACGAAAATGAGAAGCTTTTCATTAGCAGAAACGGATATAAAGATTCAAAGGGGTCGACAGTTTTTGATAAAAGCATGTTAGACGATGATCTTTCTTGCTTAACGACTGTTTTTGTGCTTTCTGTGAACCAAAAACCTTCAGATGGTGATGAAAAAACCGAAATTTGTATGTAAAAAACTATTCTTTCTTGTAAATTTTGAAGATTATCCTCCACTTTGCATGGCTAAATTGATGAACATGTTAACAGGTCAAGCAAAGCGATTCTTGTTTCGACCCAGGTCAGGACTTGTTGTTCCTGGATCAATGGATGAAAAGCTGAGTCCAGGGTGTTGGTCGATTGTTTCACCTTCGGTTTTTAAGCTTCGGGGTGAGAATTTTTTCAGGTATGATTGTTTTATTCTCGAACTTTTTTGATTTTTTGTTGCAAAAGTAGAAGGAAAATCAACAGTTGGTAATTTTGCAGAGATAAACGGAAGCACCCTGCTACAGATTATAGCCCGTATGTTCCAATTGGTGTCGATTTGTTTGTTTCCAATCGGAAGATCGATCATATCGCTCAGCATGTTGAACTTCCTTGTGTTGATGTTCATAAGAAAGTACCTTCGTTGCTGATTGTTAATGTGCAGGTATCCGTTTCTATCTTCTATCAAACCGGGTTGACCCATTTGTGAGAGCCATAATTACTAACATGATCATGATTCATGATGTTCATATGACAGCTACCGACGTATCCCGCTTCATTCTTTCATGGCGATTCCGATGGCGAAGGGATCAGTCTTGTTCTATACTTCAAACTCTCAGAAAACTTCGATAAACAAGTCTCTCATCGTTTTTGCGAAAGCATTCAGGTAAATCTTCATAGAAACAGCATCAGAGATCAGATTGAGCTTTTAAACATTCTAAATCATTAATCATAACAGAGATTAGTGATGGACGAGATGGAAATCGTGAAGTGTTTTACAAAAGAATCATTGGTTCCTTATCGAGAAAGACTCAAATTGATGGCTGGTGTAGTCAATCCCGAAGATCTTCAATTGAGTTCTGCAGAACGAAAGCTTCTAAACGCTTATAACGATAAACCAGTACTGTCACGCCCTCAACACGCATTCTATCGGGTTCGTAATTCCTTTCCAAATCTAGGGTTTTAATCTTTAAATCTTAATCTTCAACTCGGAATTACGAAATTGAAATTGCGCATATTCTTTATATGCAGGGACATAACTACTTTGAAATTGACCTAGATATACATCGATTCAGCTACATTTCACGGAAAGCACTTGATGCATTCAGGGGACGATTGAAACATGGGATTCTTGACATTGGTTTAACGATTCAGGTAAATTGGGTTTCTGGTTTTTGAATATCGAATTGAATTTATGTATTTGATTGGATTTTCATTTTTTAGGCACAACATCCTGAAGAACTACCGGAGCAAGTTTTATGCTGTGTTAGGCTTAACAAGATCGACTTTTCTGATTATGGTCAAATCCCAAGAATTTTAATACCAAATATTGATTAATGTTACAGAAAAACGAGTCGCTTTATTCTTTTATAACCAAAACGTCACTTGTTCAAGTCATTGAAAGAGTCTTCTGTTCACGAGTGAGAAGAACATTGTGTTGATTCTTTAGTACAATTCTTGAGGGATTCTAATGCGCTGAAAGCAATGCGAATGACTTAATGTTATTATGTTGTTTTTCATTTCGAGAGAAATCATGATTTGATCGATTTCGATTAAGAGAACCAAAGAGGTCCATATTCCATAATTCATAGTACTCACTATACCATATTAAAAAAAATTGTTTCATAATATGCTAACAGAATGTTTGTTGAAGAAAAAGTTCACACCAGTTACTGTTTTCCCACTTCATTTGCACCGTGGATGCAATTGGGATACAGGGTATGTGAAACTTGAAATACACATTATCATTCATATACTTGTTTAATCAGCTAAATCCAATGATACTTAGTAGTTTATAAAGTTCATAACCAAACAAAACAATGATTTTACAAAAAAAAAAAAATTGATAATCAATGATTTCTTAAGAATTAGACTCTCATTAATTGGTATATATATAGACAATTACATGGAAATGCCGTCCAAGTAATAATAATAATAATAATAATAATAATAATAATAATAATAATAATAATAATAATAATTACATGGAGCTATTGCTATATAAATGGGACATACATGGGCCGAACTATAAATATGAAGATATAAATATTGCTATACATATGGAACTCACATGGGCCGAAATATTAATATCAAGATATAAATATACCTAACATTCCTCTTCCTCATATTGATGGGAAAAGAAATGTTCCGAATATTTAAATTGGATTAAAACTGATGAAAGTGATAGGTAAATGATGCACAACTTAACTGGAACACAACTAAAAGACACACAAATTGGAATCTCTTTATTCACGTTCACTTTTTTTTCTATCCAAATAAAAAACAAAAAAACCCTAAAAATAAAAACTAGAACTTTTAATAACTATCCTAAAGCCAATAAAATAGGAACTAATTGTGGGAGGATAAACACCAAACCCACAAGATAACTACTAAATCAAAAGAGAACTATGAGATTACAATATAAACTACTCTTTCAGTTACCTGGTACCCAACGAACCCGGGACCAGCCCATCATTGCTCGAGTCCACTGGCCCAACTACATACGAATAGATGCATTTGAATTATTCTCCACACTTTATCCAGATGACCCACATTTCTCAAATTGTGGGAGGCTTTTCGCTTAGGGTATGTACAAGAATATTCGTTACATGAAGGTTTCTTGTTTAAGAGTAATATGTTGTGTGTGCCTCAATGCTCGCTATGAGAGGCCATCATATTGGAGGGACATCAAAGGGCTCTCGTTAGGCATTTCGGGCTAGACAAAACACTCAAACTGGTCAAAGATTTTTTTTTTTTTTGCTAAAGATGAGTTTGTCTATTACTCGGGTGGTGGACCGATGCCTGGTGTTTCACGTTGCAAAGATGCATCGGACCAATGCCGACTTATACACACCCTTACCAGTGTCGGAGGGCCCATAGGAAGACGTTAGTCTTGATTTTGTGGTAGGCTTGTCGCGAACTCAACGACAAAAGGACTTCATAATGGCGGTGGTGGACCGGTTCTCTAAGATGAGCCACTTTATCCCATGTGCAAAGACATACGATGCTAGTCAAATTGCCCGTTTATACTTTGCAAAGATAGTGCACCTGCATGGTGTTCCCAAGTCGATAACTTCATATCGAGATGTCAAGTTCGTGAGTCATCTTTGGCGGACGTGTTGGGGTCCCGACTGAATTTCAGTAGTGCACATCACCCGCAATGTGATGGCCAAACGGAGGTCACGAACAGGAGCTTAGGGAATCTGTTACGTAGTCTGGTGGGGTCCAATCCAAGGCAGTGGGACTTGGTTCTCCCTCACGCGGAATTCGCTTATAACCATTCGACTCATCGGTCAACTGGAATGAGCCCCTTCCTTGTTTTCTATGGGCGAAATCCATTTACGCCTTTGGATCTTGCACTATCTCCGGCAATTGAATATTTTAGTGTTGAAGGGGAGGACCGGGCTACGCAAATCAAACTTATCCACCAGCAGGTGAAGGAACAAATTGCTAATAATAACATCGTCTATCAACGTGTAACATCCCAAAATTTAGGACCAAAAATTTTGTTTTTGATATAACAATTTAGAAAACATTTATAAGAAACATCATTAAGTCACATCATTTCATAAAACCATAATCTCATGTCTTAAAGTCATATTATAAAATAGTAACAATGTCAGAGTACAATCCCAAGAAATCTCATAGTGCGGAATCTTGCTTGTGTGTGTAACGTGTCGCTACCGCGTCGACTCTTTCCCATTCGCTGAGGAGGTAACTGAAACAAAATTAAAAATTGTAAGCATGAAGCTTAGTGAGTTTCCCCATCATACCACTTACCATACAATCATATAGCATACATTCTGCCAGGCATATCTGGGCGCCTGACCTACCCCTTCGGCCCTCTCGACCGATGACTTTGCCTAGCATATCTCGGTGCTGGCCTACCCCTTCGATCCTCTCGACCGGTCTCGGGGGATTATGCCCCCTTACTACTATCACATATTATCATATAATCATACTCTGTCTAGCATGGCTGGGTACTAACTACCCCCTTCGGCCCTATCGGCCGGTAACTTGGGGACTATCTCCCCCTACTGCTACAATCATATAACATCATAACATGCTAACACATAAACATATCAAGTAACAACAAACACAGACAATTATCACAAAGACAATTGTCTAACATATACTCCTACTAGTGGGACGACATTGTGGTCGTAGAGCCATTGCTATTGAAAGGTAACTCACCTCGTGATACCGCGTGTCTAATCACATGGAAAGTAGTCTCTAATATCCGATGAGTCCCAACTATCATGGTCATATTAACACTAAATCAGAATCCATAACATTACTCGGTGTAAAATGACAATTTTACCCCTTGGTCCAATTTGAGAACATTCATAAGACCCCACTCTAGCGCATTAAATCCAACGCACCAGTGGTCCCCAAGACTCCCTAAAGGTATACTAATGGCCCAATTTTCCAAATTGGGCCCAACCCTTCAAATGGGCCTTTTTCACAATTTCTAATAAGTTTTTAGCCCTAAACCAAATGATACCAAATGGCCCAATATGGCCCAATACTTCCGATTCCAGATTCTCGGGTCCAATTGTGCTTTACGGTGGGTTATGAGGCCCAACAATCCAGGCCCAACCCTCTAAGGCCCTAAATCCCAAATGAATCCACTCTGCATGTGTACGCGCGACGTACTTGTCACGTACGCCCAACATATGCTGGCCTTGACCGCATACGAGAAGTTGACCCAATACGCGCGGCGTACCGGGGAGTACGTCCAGCGTACTGGCCAGCTTCCTAGGGACTTCAACCATGACTTAATGCATTAAGTCTTTACATCCAAAATGTAAATCTAGGTCCCTTGAGACATCCTAAGCCATAAAGTCACGAACTTTATGTGCTTGCATGCATGGTTGGGGTCAAATATGGTTTTAGGTCCTTTTGACAAACTTTAAAACCCACTAACACTTGCATGGTTATGGATTAATCATCAAGGTCTGATTTTTATGACTCTTAGTGCCTCTAAGAGTCCAAAAGGACAACTATAAAGGTTTGAAATCGTTAAGATGCAAGAAGCCTCAATAATGGAGTCCAAAAGTAACCTTGAACACCCCCTATTAGCAATCTAAGAATATAATGACCAAGTTTGGGACTTTATACCTCAAGTGGGGCAGAAATGATGCTAATCTTCTGGATCTACAAGTTCTTGGTGGATCTTTGCTCCTTCTTCAAGTTCCTTTCTCTTCTAAGTACCAAAATCACACCAAAATGCACCCAAATGGCCTCCAAATAACAAAGACACACCAAAGTGGGTTAGGGTTTTCGTGGTGACTGCTTAAGGGTGAAGGGAGGCTGAACAAACAGGAATAATGTTCTTTATATAGGGAGTAAACCCTAAGTTTTAGGGTTTAAAGGGTTGCAGACGTATGCTGGGCGTACTCCTGGTACACTGGGCGTACATGCTTGGCTCACGCGCTTCCTATCCACGAGTACGATAGGCATACCTGGCAATGTACGCCGCGCGTACTCTGTTTCCTCAGCCCATTGGCAAGACCGAAAGGTCAAGCCCAACCAACCACTCTACACTTCAATTTTAATGAATAATGATAATAATACTTGGAAAATCCCGGATGCTACAAATCTCCCCCACTTGAATTAGATTTCGTCCTCGAAGTCTGTTGTCGTCGTTGATAATAACTCGGGGTAATGCTCTCTCATCTCATCCTCCAGCTCTCAATCCAGTATGAGCCATTGCGGTGATGCCACTGCACCTTCACCATCTCTACTTCCTTGTTCCTCAGCTCTCAATCCAGTATGAGCCATTGCGGTGATGCCACTGCACCTTCACCATCTCTACTTCCTTGTTCCTCAGCGCCTTCGTCTTCCTATCCAAAATGGCTATCAATCGTTCGATGTAGTTCATAATGGGTTTTATGCATAAGAACAATCCTATGTGCTCATACAAACCCTAATGCTTGGATCTATGTTTCTCTATTATAAATGCAATGAATCCAATACTTGCAAACCCTAATCTAGCATACATAATTTCGAAGTTAGCTAATTTAATCAGATCTAGATGTTTACCTCTTCAAATAGTGGCTTGAATCTTCTTTTCTTGAGCTTAGAGTCACAATTGTAACTCCTATAGTGGATCACAAACACCACAAGAAAGAAGGCAACTTTTAGAGAGGAAGGAGGATGCTAATTTTCGGCCCTAGGGTTTCTCTTGGAAGCAAGTGGCCGAAAATTGGAGCCTCGGGGTCTTATTTATGGTGCAAGTTGATGGGGTTTCAGTCTAAACCCTAATGGACAACTTAGCCACCAAGCAGCCCAAGGAACCTTCTGGAATAAGGCCCTTGGAAGAAAATATGATGATCTTTCATCATATTTTCGTTCCCCCTTAGTCTGTAAGGTTTTCCAGCCCAAAACTCAACTATCACACATTTGACAATTTATGCCACTTTATTTAATTAATCTCTTTTAGTCACCAAATTAATTCCTAATTAATCTATGACCAATACTAATTAAATAAATAAGATTTATCCTTTAATATATTATTCTTATAATAAATTAATAAACCATATTATCCTCTCTCCCTCTCCTCAAATTACCTTGTCAAGTTGCTTTGCTGAAGGCAACCCAAAAGGACCATGTACAACCGGGTCAAGTACATACCAAATATAGTTATGGACTTAGACACTAATCCAACAGTCTCCTACTTGGATAAGTCTAGTAACTATATCTCGTATATGACTTCAGGATCCGATCAGCAATCATAGCTCTTATATGCTTCTATCAGCTTTGATC